GATAGCTATAATATGATAGATACGATAGATATACTACGATAGATACGATAGATATATGATAGATAAGATATATCTATCATATATAGATATAGATATGAAAGATACAATATATGATATGAAAGATACGATATATATGATATGAAAGATATGATATGAAAGATATGATATATATATTATACGAAAGATACAATATATACGATGGATACGATGGATACGATGGTTATGATGGATACGATAGATACGATAGATACGATGGATAGATACTTTATTAATCCCAAGGAGGAAATTTGAGTCATCCAGTAGCATGCTCTAATGATACAGGAAATAAAAAGTAATAATGAAAAAAGAAGCAACAAAAAAGGTTAAATCATGTCATCTGGACTAGTTTTTTTTAAGTGAGAAACGTTTAGTCCCCCATCCAGAGGACTTCCTTAGTCCACGGCTTACCAACCAGATAATAATAATAATGTCATCACAGTATGTTTCCATACAATGGTGAAATTAGTCTCTGCATTTAACCCATCCATCGCCAGGTGGTACGGTGGGCGGCTGTTGAGGGTGCCCGGGGGGCATTTTGGGGATGGGGTGTGCTGCCCAGAGACACCACGTGGTGGGCAATGACCGGGGATCGAACCTGGGACTTTCGGGTCCCAATCCGGCTGCTCTGCCTCTACATACTGTAGATCTGTCCCATATGTAGCCTTCACTGCTGAGTTTCAGTCCAACCTCCTGTTGGAATCTCAGCCTACTTTTGAGGAACTTCCAAAATATCTATCTGACAGACAATTTATCCAAAACGTTAGGCAATTTGCAACAAGTCAACGTGTTAGGTTAAAGACAGTGTGTTTTGCAGACAATGTGATGTTGCGCTTGATGGATGCAAGTAGCAAAGAGTGCTCATGATTCAAGTTAATTGTGGCCCTTCAATCTCATTAGCTAGATCAAAATATCTAGTTAAAACAAAGAAGCCCACAACTGTGTTCCATGTAGCGTTACTATATCAGCCTTGTTTTGGCATTTTTGTTCCACATTCTTTAAAACCCTACAGCTTTTGTTTTATTGTCCCCTCTTTAAAATATCTCCTTGTACTTCGGTTTGATGTTGTGCCCTTTAGTTTCAATGCACTGACAGATTTATTAGCGTTAAATGGGAAATATCTCACATGCTTGGCACTCACCTAAACCACAGCTTGAGATCAGTGCTGGAGATATCGGGTGTCTGCGAGGTGAGGTTGGTTAAAAACAACACGGTGTCTTCCTGGGTTTCCAGTTTTCCACAAAAGAGTGTATACAGAGGGGTAAATGGAAAACTGCAGCTGGACGTTATCAGAGAGTTTGTTTCAAATAAAATAAAAAATCTTTGACAGATTACATTTAAATACTAGTATTAGGCAGAAAGTGATGCAAAGTTTGTTTGACTAAATTAAATTGAATGCTGTGATAACAATATTCATTTATATTCATTTTAATTAGCAACCACCAGCTGTAGGCTGACCATTAATGTTTTTGCACATGCGTCTTTGTGTGTGTGTTGTATGTTTCTAAGTGCAATCATTAGAAGTGCATCTGACTAAGTTGTGGCGTCACCTGAATTCAAAATGGCTACCACAGCTAGTCAACATTAGCCTAAACACAAACGGTTAAAACCATGAAAATTTAACACGTACTGAGGTCAAATTTGGTGTGGCGAGAGTCGTCCTCAACACATACTCCGAGCGGTACACAATGTGCAACATTCTTGTTTAAAAGTTTGACAATAACTGCAACAGTCAATACTGTCTGTTAGCAAATTATCTCCTGAACCAGTTGATGGGTTTTCATGAAACTTGCAGAAATTAGTCATTAGATGGTCATCTATAACTGACTGACATTTGGAGTCAACCCAAATCAAGATAGCTGCCACAGCTAATATACCTTTGTCAACACAAATAAAGTCCAGTTGATTTTGTCTTGAACTTTTTTTTAACTTTGTCAACACAAAAATGCCTATAACTTACCGTACTTTTCGGACTATAAGTTGCATCTTTTTGCATAAATTAGCAAGTCCTGCGACTTATGGTCCGAAGCGACTAATTTACCTTTTGTTCCCCATATTTCTAACCCAACTTTTGGCTGAGATCGACTATTTAATTCATTCTAACATGTAAAATATTCAGTGTGTCCACCTATCCTACTCCATCTGTTACGGGCTCTGAGTGCGAGAGCCTTAAACGTCTCGCCTATTTTCCCAAACAGCACTGTGTTGAATCCGGGATGTAAAGTACCTAAACTACTGCAACTATTTTCTAAATACACAGAAAACTGATTGAGCTGTGAAGTTATGTGAACAGAAGATTATTCGTACCCACCTGGTTTGTTAATTTGTCAGTTTCACCTTTAAAGAAATGGAATGCAAAGGCCTTCTATCACTCAAAGCCCCCCTTTTTATGTAGCTGCCTTGCATTCTTTGAAAGGCAGTCATACTTTAGTGCACACCCATTTGTGCGTGTCGGTTGCATCACTCCAGTACACTGAAGGTGAGCGTGGCCTAAACTGCTGCTCCATAACTGCATAGTCAGAGTGCAAGCATGTAAACCATGTTTATCACATTGAGAAAACAACTGATCAGAAATGTTCGGATCAGTACTGGGGTTCTTTAAATTCTCAGCTTTTTTTTTTTTTTTTCCAGGTAAAAAAATGGCTACAGTTCAAGTTAATAAAGTCATAAAAAGGCACATGATGTTGACTGTAAAACAGTGAAATTTACTATACAGTGTGCTACATTAACTCAAAACTCCAGTGGACTGGTGATACTTTGAGCTGTCGAGCAGGAAGGTTTGTTTATGAGCATTTCATGGATTTAGTAGAGTGTGTCAACTACTGGAGCTGCACCTTCACTCATCCTGGGCATGAAAGGATAGGGGCGATAGTGGGGGTGGGAGATTTTTCCTCATAAATCCCCTGGAGAGGAGAATATTGAAGGTGTGTTTCTGCTGGGCCTGGTTATGCACAGATGAGTGGGCAGTAAGTCAAAGGAATGAAAGAAAGAAGATAAAGTTAATCGCAGAAACTTTGGATAATAAACTCATTGCTCGCAGTCTCGCTACGTTTATGGTTTTAATGCTCATGGGTGGGGAGCTGGAGGCAGGAAGGTATAAAAAAGAGAGAAGAAAGGTGTTGGATTCCTTATACAGAAACTAATGGAATTTTTTGGAGTTTTGGAGAAGATCAGGGAGGCATGCAGAGACTGGTTTCTTCAGTTCTGAACAGGCAGACCAAGCCTAGATACCAGAGTTTTATTAAACAAGGTTTTCTTGAAGCATATTAAAGAAAAGTACTGTTCAAAAAAGTACTAGCTCATGATTAAAGAATCATGAGCTAGAAGTACATTCTAACACATGTAAATGGGTAGTTGGGACCTTTTGATGTTGGATTCTATGCAAAGCCTATGTAGATGGCTCTTTAAATGACCTCAGTTGGGTGAAGTGTTGACAGAACAGATGAGTTGAGTACAGCTAAGACCAAAATGTATTGCAGCAACAGCAGCCCCAGTTTTCAAAGTTGTACTGTCATTTATGGGAACTCTCCTTCCCAACCTTTACCACTGCCTCGTAAAAGTCCTGCTGAAGGTGCCCAAGGCTACACTGGAAGTGCTATAATTAGCTGCTACTGCTTTTTTGTGATGTAAGGATTTATAAAATTTATTTGCATTAACTGCCATGACATTTTGAAGACTGGAGCTGGAAGAAATCCACTTTGGTCTTGGTTATACTCCATCTAGCCATTAACTTGTTAACCCTGCCTGTAAAATGAGCTCGTTCAAAGAGCTTTTTAATCAGTAGGAAAGTCGGTGTTTATCATCCTTCCAGTGAACCTCACTTCAAACTGTTCTTGGTTTTAGTCTGGGACACCTCTAGAAGGTTTTCAAAGAGGTAGGGAACACTGATATTGTAGGGATGGTACATAGAAACCAAAAGGCATGCATACATAAGGGGCAGCTGTGGCTGAGTGGTTAGATCAGTCGTCCTCCAATGCCAGCAGTCACATGCCGAAGTGTCCCTGGGCAAGACACTGAACCCTGAGTGTGTGTCCCATTGGTGTATGAATGTGATCTAAAACACTGATTAGTCTCTACTGGTTCAGATTAGCTTTGTAGAGATCTAGTATTACTGTATAAATGGGTAAATGAGGGCAAAGATTGTAGTGTAAAGCACTTTAAGTATCTTGATAATATAGAAAGGTACAGTTTACCATAAATATATTGAGGTGGCCAATAACCCCATTTTTTGCACCCCATCTGAAGAGTTGCCTTTTTAACAGGACTCTTTCCTTCTGTTTTCCAATAGGAAGACAACGAGATACCTACTCATGTGGTCGTCAAAGACTCCATCAAGACTCCACACCCAACCCCACTACCAAGCCAGTATGATGCAGAGTCCACCCATCCTACTCCATCTGTTACGGGCTCCGTTGAAGCCATCCACACCCAAGATGAGGCTCTCCAGACCATCAGCCTGTCCTCGGATGATGATTTCGATTTTTCACAAGCGCATCGAGTGGACGAGGAGACGCTGGAGTGTGAGGCTGTCGGTGTCACTCCTGTCAAGTTTGAGAGAAGAGCCGACCAGTTCAAGCGCAACAGTCTGAAGAAAGTCGATACCCTGAAGAAGGCCTTCACACGTCATAACATTGAAAAGAAGATGAACCAGATCTCCTCCAAGATCGTGCCGCCAGAGAAGCGCGAGAAAATAAAGAAGAGCTTCACCCCGAATCACCCTAAAAGCCCAACTTCCAGATCTTCCTCTTTCAAGGTGTCTCCCATGACCTTTAACGTCAAGAAGGTCAGAGATGGGGAGACTCCTACACCGCAAGCATCCCAGTCAGTGGAAGAAATCCGTGTGGATATACCTACTTTGACGGGCCTAGATGGAGAGATTCCTTCAGCGGAGGTGCACAGCCCAGAGGGTGTTGTGGAGGTGGTCCAGGAGACGCTGAACTCCTCCAGCCCAGAGAGCGTGAAGGCAGAGGTGTCGCTCAATGGAAAAACGTCCACCGTTGAGTGCGAGATGAATGGTGATGGCGTGGCTAGCTTGGCCGTTCCAGAGCATGACGAAGATGTCGTCAAGGAGAAACAAGAGGAAGAAAAGGTGGAAGAGAAACAGGAGAGTCCAGCAGAGAAAACGGCAGAGGCCCAGATTCCCACAGAATCAATCGCCGTGGAGCAAGTGTCTTAATGTTATTCAGTTTTACTCGTTAGTTCTACCTTTTAATTTCATTCATACTAAAATTTCTAAATTTACAGAAGAGACACAAATGATCATTTTTGGTTGAAGTCTAACACCCTTTTAATATTAAAATATAGTTTATCTCTAAAATGGAAATGCATAGCCCAGTACAAGTCCATCTCAAAACAGCATTACAGAAAAACACCAGAACTTTTTCTTCGACTGGTGCCACCACAGAAACAGGTGCACATCTCCAAGGTGCTTCACCAACCATCCTCCTGCTGTGTTTGTTTGCCTCTGGTCCTTTATAAAAAAAAAAAAAAACAGCCTCTTTTGTTCTTTGTTGTATAAAAAAAATAGTAAATCTCTGGGAACGGTGGTGCAGCCCACAGCCTGCGGGGGCAGTGTGTTGCCAGGTTGTGTCAGAATTGGAATGAGGAGTTTTTGCATTTTAAGTGAACAGGCCCGGGGGTGTTTCCAAGCCATCATTTGTGGTTGTTTATTGGAGTATTTTCTTTTTTTTTGTGTGTCAAGCCTGAGCAAAGGAAGCTCAGATCTTAGCTAACAGGTGACTTCAGGAAACCAAGTGCCTCTGTGTCTCACCTGCAATCATTAGTTAGTCTCTTGGTCTTTTTTTTTTGTTGTTGTTGTTGGCATTTTTATTGATAACTTATTTAGAACATGATGAGCTGCATGTTCTACTAATACCATATTATCGCGCCATCAAACGCCAACAACTGAAAAATATTATATCATTAAAAAGATACAATAGACTCAATTAAAACTGACAAAATGTTATTAAATCTTGTTAAGAAGGGAGATGTTTTAGTGGGAACATGATGGTACAACTACTGATGCAAATGAAGGGCTTCATTGCAGAACACAGGCATTATTAGAAATGTATAAATATAAAGGTATTTTGTGACCTTGTCCTTGTAACTACTTTTTCAGCCCTTTTTGCAAACCTACATTTTATTTTTAGAATTTTTTTCCCCCCTTTGTTTGTGAGACTTTTAAGTGTTTGCATTGAGTTAAGTTAAAGGTACTCCTTGCAGTGCCCTGAAAAAACAAACAAACAAAAACCTTAAAGAAGAAAATCTGTACAGTTTTGTTCTCACATCAATGGTTAATGTGTCCCTTAAACAATTGTAAGCAAAATTTGGGAACATCTGGCAACTACTGTGTTGTTGACCTGCGGGGAAAAAACCGAAAATGGGTGAGAAGTGTCTGCAGATGAGCTGTTTGGGTTCGAGAAGTCGGACAGTTTTGATATATTGGATCATATTTACACTCCAATCTGTTGCATATCAATTTATCTATACAACTACCGGAGTAAATTATATCAAACTGCACCATTTCATATAATTCAGCATAAGCTTTTTATGTTTGATTTCATAAAAAGTGACCGCTACCTTTAACCTGTAAAAGTAGCATAAGTGATATTTGTTTGCTTAGATGTAATATGGGTCTTGGATGTTAAGACACTTTGTTCTCACTTGTCCCAGAACCCTGTCCCCCTCTGCCCTGACAGGTGCTGAGTCTGGCACATTTTGCCTCAACTTACACAAGCCGGGTCGAATAATTACACTCAATAAAATCAAAATTAAACGTTTACACGGCTTTTCTCATGTTTTTCATTGCTGAAGCTTTACCAGCCTCAGCAGCAGGTTGCCGAGATGTTCTAACTTTCCTAAAATTAGAGTTTAGTGAGGTACCAGGTGCCAAGGATTCAGATACTGGAGAGCTTACAGAAGTAGGTAAAAAAAAAAAAAAAAAGCAGTGGGCAGCATTCCTAGCTTTGACGGATGGGCCCTGCTCAGCCCATTTTTCATGCCCCTGGCCTCCTTGTTGAATGTGGATGAGGAGCCACAGGTGTTCTGCTCCTGTTGGAGCTCCCAAACATGAGCTCACTATGGAAGGAGGACAAGTGCGCTGGGAAGTGTGGGAAATTACTGCAGGTGTTGGAACAGAAGATAAAGTTGCCTTTGCTTAAGGCGTGCATGCATTTCTGCAGAGAGGCAACACAGATGTGAGTTTGTAATATGTTGGACTGTGGGAATTCAAATTTTATTATGTGGGCTACACAACCGATTTAGCTAGAAGATCAGGATCAGATATCTGCTTCGACTTGACTGTCATACTGGTTCTGAAAAGAGAAATGCTTATGTTTTAACAAGTAAAATGTGGTGTCTCCGACAGTTTATATGTAAAGGAATTGTTTGTGCAGGAGTTTCCTCTGGATCCAGTGAAAATATTCCTGCCGGAGTGCGCAAAGTTCCACGTTTAGTGTACAAAAGTTAATTTGTGACTGTGAACAAAAGACGCAGATTTACTAAACAAATAAATCAAACAGTTATTCCATCATGCTGTCATGCCTTTACTGGTATATTTTGACAAGAAAAAAGTCCTTATGATGTGTTTCAAGGTATGATTTGTACAATATATAACTTTTAAAGTATTAGTTTGATTTGTGTGAAATTAATGGGACGTTTTAAAATGGGAAATGAGCATTATGCTGTTTTTATTAATGTATTTACAACTTGCAAATGTTAAGTTCAGCAAAATTCTGCTGGAAAACAAAAATGTGTGCATCAGGAAAGGGATTTAATTGGAAGGGTTTAGCAGGCTGAAAGCTTCAGTGACTGCAAATGGAGGAAACTACTGATGGACGGTACTGTGCAGAAGTCTTAAATCATCCTAAAGTTCTTCAAACTTCTCTTCCATGCAGACAGACTTTCTTGTAATATTTTAAAGTGACTTAAAGTTTGGCTCTTTTATGCTCGTTATTTTTTAAATCCAATTCCTTATCCTGACAACTTGTGCAGTGCATGCTTAACGGAGGGAATTTGGAGGACAAAAGAGTGACAACTGTAAAAATGAGCAGCATCTGGAGGTTATGCTTTGAAAAATGGGAACATTTCAGCAAATGCCTCGGATGCGTCATCCTTCAGGTGACCATTTACTCGCAGGGGTGATGAATTCTTGCAGAAGGAGGCCAAAATTAAAAACTTGGTTCAAACCAAGAGCCAAGTTAATGCCTCAAGTCATTTGATGTTTTGTTGCTTTTTTCACATGAAAATCAAGAATCACTCAAAAATTCAATCAAATTTTTTCTTGACTTCAAAGCTAACCAGCTGTCGAGAAGTCTGCACTAAATAAAGTGTGCTCGCAAAATGAGAGACAATTAAAAAAAAAATAAATATTAAAACAATATATATATATTTAAAATCTCATCGAGGGCCAGATATGATGTTTACAAGGGCCAGATTTGGCCCTCGGATCATACGTTTGACATGTGAATTACTTGTATGTCAACTTTTCAGCTTTTGGGAACTGAAATACAATTTTCTGTCTGTCATACCCTTAACTTTAGTATTTTTTTAGATTAAACGACAACAAAAAACTAAAGAAGTTATGTTTTTATGATGGGACAACTAAAAACAAACCGACAACCTAAATGACAAACGTAATATTTGCTGAAGTCCAAAGAAGAAAATGTGTCTGCTTGGAAGTAAATAATAAAGAAAAGAGGGATGACTCAAGACTTTTGCACATGACTGTATTTCTGTTGTTTGTTTGCAGCTAAATACAAAAAGACTACTTAAAAAAACTATCAATTAATATTCTAATAAATACTAAAACATGTATAAGTAAATATATTTGATAATATATATGTATAATAAATATGTATATTGTCAATCAGGAAGCATGTTTAGTTTTTACTTTTATTGAAAATATTTTCATTTATTGTTTAGGAGTGGTTGAAATTACTTTGAAAATTCTTTATTTTTGCATTTGTGTGTATTTTTTTGTCAAATATTAGAACTGCTGAATGAGTACCAGTACTTCAAAGTACCAGTACTTCACAGGGAGCTTTTTGGGGTTACATAAAATAATCTTTGGGATTTGAAATAGAAAAAAAAAAAAATGTTTAGATATATATTCTGCTTTAAAACTACTTTGCTGTCTGTATTTAATAAACTTGTGCAGCAGATTTTTGTTCTTGTAAATCACACTACTGAAAAGGGCTTGTTAGTGTTTTATCAGCTTTCTCTTGTTTCTTTGAGATAGCTGTCCGCTAAAACGTTTTTCTGTGTTTGTTTTTGAAATTATCCTGGTAAATCATAAAATCCCTGTTTGCAAGAAATTTCAAACATTGCACCACAAACTTTAACTTCTATTGACATCTTTATTTTTTTTATTTTTAGCCACGTAAACCAAAGATCCCCTCACAGAAGATTCCACTTTAGTGATTACACATCTTGTAAACATGCAGGAGTTTCTGTGCTAGTTAGTTCTGGATTCATCAATAAAGATTTATAACTCTAAAATGATGTTTTGTTTTTATTTAAAGCTCTTGAGATAAGATGAATTGTGTGTTTTGATCATTCTGACTCATGGTGCCACTTCCATATACAATTAAATGTATAAATATCATTGTGCTGATCTAATTTAAAATAATACAATTATAGTGATTAGTCCATGAAAGGAGTGGTTCAGTTGCTCAATCTGTTTAAACAGCAGCACAGTGCATGAAATCACTGATTAAATGTGAATTTAAGATTAGATAAAAGTTGCAGGTGGAGTCCTACTGAGAAGTTGTTTCAACACAATTTACCATATTTGTTGGAAACAAAACTGAAACGGATCAACTCATTCACAATAACCAAATAAAATCAGTTCATGGTCAGTAAGCACTACCAGAATTAATACATAAGGCAAGTTGAGAAAATTAAAGGATTTTAAGTGCACCTTATAGGCTGAAAAATATGGTAAATAAGTGTTTTCCAAATAATTGAATTTATAGCGCTGAAATTAAAAAATTTTAATCACCCCCAGAGGAGTTTAGGAAGTGATCATCCAAACAGATGATAAAATGTATATCACAACCCTATGGATGTCACCTGTCATCAGCTTCAGTTGTTCCCGGCAGCTCTTACCGTCCTCACACGCTTACTTTTGTTTTCAAACTGGTTGGCCTGCATCTCTCCACCCCAGACAAGACTCAGCAAATCTCAGCTCCATTCTCAGCAACTTTTAATGTTGCGCCTCAGCAGGACTGGGGGACTTCTAATCCACTTGCACAGATGTTGCTTTGTGTTATTACAGACGTTGGTCATAAACACACCCGGCCTTCTGCTGCTGACAAATCCCATGGAGTGGTCTGGCTTTTCATTTTGCTTCTACCTTCTCGGCACTCCATGACTTTAAGGTGTTACAATAGAGCAGTAACTGAAAAAAGATCCTTAAAATGGAGTGGGTTTGTACAGGGAGGACTCTGGGAGCGACATAAATCTCCAAAACCAAGCCATAAAATTGTCCGTTTAAAAGGTGGGTGTGAACTGACTTTCTGTTTGCCTTTAAAGCTCACATCAAAAGGCAGCACTCATTGATGGAATGCATATTGCATTCAAAGTTTAAAACATCTTATCTTTTACTCAGTGAATACGCTGGGATGACAACTACCACACCATGATCGCCAGATGTGGCAGTCATCTTAAAGTGGGTTGACTCCAAATTGTAATAAGATGTAGATGTACTGTATATCCAGGGCTTAATTTGAACGGGATCCTACCAGAACAGGAACTGGGAATTCTTATTTTGACAGGGTGCGTTCCGGTAACTGTTTGCTTGGATCCAGTAACTCTCAGGCTTAGTAATAATAAAGTTATGAACAAATACTGTATGAGTGCCTTGAACGAATAAAACTAATATTGGACATGTAAACTGAAAATAATTACATAAACACTAGTTTTAAACACAACAGTCACTTACGAGCATACGAGCGGCCGCTTCAAGTAGCATTTCCGCTTATGCGCTTCAAAAAAAGTCAGCCCCTAAAAGAGTGGTGGGGGTAAGTGCCAAGCTAACAAGTCATATGCGAGTAGGAGCCCACAGGCACCTGGAGGTTTCACATGTGTCGGACAGCAACGAGCAGGGACAGTGTCGGGCTCGGAACTGTCAAGTTGGGGGTAGGATGCTTGACAGAAGCGGTATTTACAAATGTAGGTAAGTAGACATAAAAACGTGTTAAAATACACAAAAATGCAAGAAATTGCATCTACTTTATCCCAAAAAATTTTTTGGGGAGGAAGCCCAAACACTTCCCGCCCACTATTTGCGTTCCATCATCAATTGGTTTGCAAATTAAGCCCTGTGTATATCCAATGATTACTTTGAGTTTCCTTAAATTCCATCTAGTTGTTTGTTCACAATATATTTTGCTAACAGACAAACATGTTATATTTCCTCACTTTCAATAGCAGCAGTAACGTACTTTGTATTTCACATGTGATATACATGTTTTTCTTACTAATCTTGTATAAAAGATGAAGTAGCAGCAGCTTGAAGTACATGGCACATCTGTTTCTCTGCAGGAGGCCTGCAACATCATGCTTGGAAAAAAGTGCAGTCTTCAGTTTTCATTTTTTTTCTAACTCTTAAGTTTGACTTAACAAAAGAAGTAAGATCAAATAACAATAATGGCCAAAAACTGGATGGTCTATTCAAATGTAAAATGATAAAAAAACACAATCTTGAAACTAAATTGCTTCTTTTTGAGCACTTCAAACAGACTGACTGCTACAAGAAAGCAACTTTTTTGCTTTTTGCTGACTTTTATTTTTAACATTGTGCAACATAAGAAATCTAAAACTTTAGCAAAACACAAAAGATAAAAGACTTCAAAATCCTCAAGACTAGATTAGGCTTTTGGGAGCATGGTAGTCCTAGCCATGTCCTTTCATTAGACGCACAAGAATGAAGGCCTCAGGCATGCAGGGGCCCCCAGAGAGTTCCTTATCCACAAAAGACAAGTTGACACATGGTTGAATTTACATCAGTAGTAATCTCGTGAAAGGAACTCCATTTAGTTTCATATTTATGTTAATTATCAATGTCCTCATTTTTGCTGTTCAAGAAAGTGATTATTATGTTTCTGATTACCTATTATGTAGACTCTCCCCATGGCCTTAAAAAAACTAAGGCTTTTTTTGTCACCTGGCATTCAGTTAATTTAAAGTATGAAATGTTGACTCTTGCATTTTGCATGAACTATATAAGTAAATAGATATTAGTGTTTCAGTGGAGAGTGGGCGATGGGCTTAACTGAAAGTATGCCCCAAAGTGAATATCTGTAAAGGAAATCAATGAACAGTATAAATAAAAAAAGAATGTACACACATATTCTGATGATAATGCATAATGCCTTTTTATAACTGTCCATTGTTGTCGCTGTTGTCCATTGTTTTCATCATTCTTTGTTGAAATCAGGTCCTCGAGACTCAATGGGGATTTACCTGTCTAAATAAAGGCTGAATAAGGTAAAAAAGCGAAAATATTTTCTAAGGCTGGGAGAGATGGTATGGTGGTGTTTGTCTCCCTCTAATGTTAAAAGCGACCGCAACATCCTGTACGTCTTTCACCACGCTTTTCTCCGTCAGTTAAATTAGTTCATTCCTGAAAACAAGGGAACGATCAAAAACATATATGCAACATCCCTGATCAACAATATTATGGTATCCCTTTAAATATATCCTGGCTGTACATTCATTGTGTATTGTCACGGTGGCCGAGAGGTTAAGGCGTTGGACTCGAAATCCAATGGGGTTTCCCCGCACAGGTTCGAATCCTGTTCGTGACGATCAATTTTTTTTGCCTGCGTTTTATCAATCGTATTGCATTAAGGAAAAAAAACTCCATTGTTCATTACATCTATTTGGCGGCGGCTTTGTCAGCCGACGTACTTTTTATTTTAAATAATTCGTTGCTATATTATGTATATATTATACGTGTAACTTGAGTTTTATATCAGGCAAAACTGTTTATAGTGAAGTCTCGTCAATAACACTTCTTCTCGCGATAACAGCCTCTTAACGGTTCCAACCAATTACTCCGTTAACTAAAACAATTGTGAGAAAGTTTTCGCGTAGCTTGACTATTTTTATTAATGCAGCGTATTTTGCTTAATAAAAGCCAAGTGAGTTTTTGTAAATGTATGTGTGCGTAACAAGAAACCGGCGAAAAAATTAATTTCGGTCCCTGTGATTTGATAATGGAACCGGCCAAGTTCTATAAAAAGCACCGGCAGAGCACGCTTACGTAGTTTTTGGGGTATTGTGGTAGCTGGGTGAAGTGTGTTGTGAGCTGTCGCTGCTCATGTTACGAATTTAGTGTCGAGACTTTAGTTAGGGACACTTTCAGTGAGGCTTTCTCGAACATTTCATTAGTCCTACAACAAAGCACTTGGGCAGACTGCGCGCTAACAAAGCTAGCAGTTCCTTATACTTTACTAGAGCTACACAAAGGAAATGCGCTCGATTAGTTGGGAAGCATTAAGTTGCTGTCAGCCCAGACAAAACAGGTTTTTATAACATTCAGTTGCTGAATGTGTTATAAGATAATCACTTTGCTTGTCAGCCTGCCGGTAGTGCTCCGATGTTTTGGCCAAGCGAGCTGATATTAGTCTCTTGAGGTAATACAGGTAACGATTTGTCTTGTTAAATAGTGAGGAATGAAGCTGCCATTATGGCGATAACCGGGAAGGACAAGATGCTACATAGTGACATTAAAATAAGGTAGCTAACTGCGAGCTAGCGAACATTCAGCCAAGTGTCCAGGATAGCCACGCATAGCTCGGATGCAGACGCAGAAGTAGCTGACCATCAGTTTCAAGCGAATAAAACTGGATGAGCGCTGCTGTTAGCATTTTGAGCTAACGGGCTAATTAGCAGCGCTAAAGCTAACCGTTGCATTGGGGCGTGCGAGCAACAAAAAGCGACACAACGGATTTATTAAACTCGACGCTAATAATGGCTGCCCCCACAACCGAGGCCTTGTTTTTGATAAAGGATGTGAAGCCCGGGTCGAAAAATCTGAATATTGTTTTCATCGTTTTGGAGATCGGTGAGTAGCCGCGGTAGCTAACGGGAACTTCAAACGTGCGGCTGTTCTTAAAGGAGCCGCCGGAAGTGTTGAGGGCGAAGGAAACTAATCACGGATCTAATGTAGTTTTGGGAGAGAACCTTAGTCCTTCTGATTGTTTTTTTTTTTATTTTATTTTATTTATTTTTTTTGCAGGACGAGTGACTAAAACGAAAGATGGCCATGAGGTGCGCTCCTGTAAAGTGGCAGACAAAAGCGGAAGTATTGCCATCTCTGTTTGGGACGAGCTGGGTAGTCTTATTCAGCCAGGGGACATCATCAAGCTGACCAGAGGGTAGGGCTGTTCCTGCACTTGGAAGCTGTTTTTAGGATTGTGTGCATGCTTAAACAATGATTTATTTGTGTATATTACTGCTGTTTTTTATTTTTACCCCAGCTATGCATCTATATGGAAAGGCTGTTTGACCCTGTACACTGGAAGAGGGGGAGATCTGCAGAAGATTGGAGAGTGAGTAGACTGATGCAGATCCTTTTAGAAGTTCAAGGTTCTTTATTGTCATTCGCATCACATGTGGTACATGAGGTGGAACGAAACTGTGTGCTCAAAGTCCCAGTTACACCCAAAAATAGCAAAAACATAAAGTATTGTATAAAAAGAAATGCTATACAAGGATCTAAGATATAAATAATTAAAAAAATAACGTAAAAATTGCCAAGTCTTGGTGTGACTTGGTTCGCTGTGGCGACCCCTGAAAGCCGAAAGAATTAAAAAAAAAATATAAGGATCTAAGATGCACACTAAGAAATATGCTAAAATATACACCAAAATATCTAAGATGTATGCTAAACACTAATAATGTAAAATAATATGGTATATTAAACTGCATGGGTATGAATGAATGCAGCAATCAACAGCATGGATCATCAGCACAGGTACGTCACTTATCACCATTTAGTGGCATTACAGCGATTATAATTTTTTTCCTTGACAGGGATTATGCTGATTAGAGGTTTATGCAGTGGTGTAGTCTACATTTTTGTAGTGGTATACTGTGTTTAGAAACCAAAGTTAACTGGTTATTACAATGTAATCAAGTTATTTTGATTTTTAAATGGAACATTTCCAAATTTCTCTGATGCTTATATTTGAATAAATGAACAACAAACTTTGTACAACAGTTGGCTTTGTATTAAAAACGCGTTATAGAAATGATAGAATCATCAAAGCAAAGCGCTGATTGTTATGGAAGCGTTTTAACAGTCGTTTAACTTAGCGGTAACGTGCCTAATGTTATGTCATGTATCAATGGACACTTTTTTTGTGGGTATACTGAAATTCTTGAGCTTTTCTAGTGGGTATACTCCGTATGCCAGAGTATCACGTAGACTACATCACTGGATTTGTGAGTCTTAACAGCTTCAGGGTAGAAGCTGTTCTCAATCTAGTGGTTCTACACTTGATGTTCTGCAACCTCCTTCCTGAGGGGAGTGGGGCAAAAAGTGTGTGCTGGGTGAGTGGGGTCCTTCATGATGCAGGTGGCTCTCTTCCTGCATCTAGAGGTGTAGATGTCTGTGATGGTGGGGAGGCTGACTCCAACATTCTGTGCAGCCTTCACCACTCTCTGCAAAGCTTTTCTTTCTGCAGCTGTGCAGCCTCCATGCCACACGTTGATGCTGGAGCACAGGATGCTCTCCACTGCACACCTGTAGAAGGAGGTGAGGACTGAGCTTCCCAGTCCAGCTCGCCTCAGCCGCCTGAGGAAGTAGAGAAATCTGTTATATTTTATGGAATTACCACTTAAAGATGGTGTCTTTGTGCGCGTGTGTGTGCTTATCAATAATATATTGTGAGGCACTGAGCGGACTTTAATGATCGGAGAGAAAAAATGACTAAATGTGCATCTGCGAGTGATTTACTTTTTGGAGGTGGCTGCCAACTGACTCACAAACACAAAATTGTCCGTCAGTTTGACAGATAATGAGCTAAAATTTTGAGTGGTAGTTGTTGAGACTGATCCCCGACACGTGCTCTGCGAGAACTTATTTTCAGTATTGCCTTTATATTAAGTCGTCTTTCTTTTTAGATATTCAAACTTTTGGGTGGATTTTAATGAAACTTTCAGGACTGAATCGTCAGATGTGCATCTGCAACAAGTTAAACATTTGAAGTTCACCCACCTTGATGGCGACTGCAGCCAGTGGACCTTTAGAAAGCACAGAAACTGCTGTAATTCAGTCAGTTTTGATGATCTCTCGTAGATTGATCAAGAGCTTTGTTTAAAATGTTGCCATTAACTATTTGCTGCTGAAATACTTATTGCTGGTCAGTAGAAAGTATGAAGTTAAAATTGTTTTAAAAATTAGGGAGTGGTGGAACAGAGGTTGGAGAAGGTGGGCCTGTGATCGGAAGATCGTCTGTTCAACTCCCGCTACCGATATCAAATGTGGGTGGGATAGGTGAAGCACCCACACCTGCCCCCACCCTCATTTTCCCCACCCTGAGCCCTTGAGCAAGGCCCTTAACCCCCACCATCTGCTCCTCCGGACGCCCTAGATGGCAGCTCTCTGCTCCACACAGGGCTGTGGTAGCTCAGTGGGCTGTGGTAGCGTCAGGAAGGACGTCCGGCGTAAAAATAACTGCAAAGTCTTCGTGCGACTTAGTTCGCTGTGGCGACCCCTAATGCAGGGAGCAGCTAATGTTTCTGGATGTTTTTAATGAGACTAAAAACCAGAGTTTTGCTTTTCTAGGTTCTGCATGGTGTATTCAGAAGTGCCCAACTTCAGTGAACCAAACCCAGAGCTGCTAAACCAAGCAAACCAGAACAAGTCTGTGAGTAGCCTCGATGTGTAAATGTCACTTTCTAATGTTCTTATCTCGAACTTCACACATCCCAAAACTAAATGATATTCATGACCTCTATAGCCTTTTTAAGTTCTGTCCACTTGGTATGAATGAATTTGTTGTTATTGCACTGACATGTTGCATCTATCATTGTCCTAACAGGGTAAGCCTGACCAGAACCAGAGAGGGAACTCTCCACCTAATCAGAATTCAGGTACACCTGCTCCACCAGGTGAGCATATTGAACATTAATGGTGGGAAATGTTTCTTTTCTCAGATTTCTATTTTTTGGATCATTTGGCTCAACTCCCAAACAGCTCGTAAGTAAAGGAGCCGTTTAAGAGCCAAAAAAAGCCGGTTCCCTTTTTATTTTATTTTATTTTGTGAGCTGAGCCAAATGATCTGCATCTCAGAAAAGAACCATAAATCCATGGCTATAAGTAACTTGCAGGTTGTTCACTTTGGTGTGTGTTGAAAGTTAAAAGATGCCGTTTGTCGATTTTAGATGAGACGAATTTAGTAAAACTTGAAAAAAAAAAAAAAACTTTAGATTACTCCTGCCACTAACTAGATGTTGGAGTGCTAGATGAGAATCGTAGATGAACAAAAACAGATGGATCGGTTAAATGCGGCTTTTCGAGATGGGGGTTGAGGTAGGAGAGCCGACTCAAGACCCGAAAGCCCCAGGTTCAATTCCCCACATGTGGTGTCTGAACAAGACACCTAATCCCTAATTGCAGACACTTGCATAGCTGCCCACTGCACCACCTGGGTGTACCCCAGGTGTGATGTTTGGCCATTGTATGGAACATGCACTGATGACAACACATGGCACTTGTCTTCTAAATCTCTGGGTTATTTATTCTATGAGATAAATGGATGAATATATATATTTTCAATGAAACGTGGGCTGGATATGATTCACATTAGTATCGGTAAACACAGAACCGAGCAGTTTAAATGAATTTAGCCACCACTACAACGTTTGCAATCCGTTTCAGGAGCGTCGTTTAATGAGCCGTGACTGCTCGACTCGTTGATGCTGTTGAAAACTTTCAGTTGCACGCTCACTCAATTGAGTGTTTTTGAGCAGCAAGCCATGTGGCTGCATTGTGTGCAGCCGCTTTTTAAAAATTGCATGTTTTTGCGTGCACAGCTTGCAAGATTTTTTTTTTTTGGCTGTGTACATTTAATTTCCCACTTCATATCCACAACGGCCCACTCTGTAGCAACCTTGGCAGCTGCCCCCAAATTTCTGATTTAATTCACGTTGGAAGACTTGAAAATGAAGATGATCGGATGTGAAGTATTTAAAAAGAGAAATTATCAACATGGTCGTTAAAACCTACCGGTCGGCATTTTCTGTCGGAGTAAACCACCTGTGCACGTGTCAAAATGCAGCTCTGGCACTCTTCTAATGTGTAGGAGACGCCTGCGACTAAATCAAGTCGTCACGGCAACGGGTTTGAGACGACTCGACTATCATGACAACTGGAGACTCTCCAGATGTTTGCCAATTAGTCACACCACCTTTACGTATAAATGTACCAGTTGTCTTGATTTTTTTCTCACTTGCTTCAATGTTTCAACTTGCAGGTAACGGCACCATGCCGCCATTTTCCAACAACCCCCCGCCTGGTACTCCCCGTGACCCGGCATTTGGAAATGTTGGACGCCCCAATGGAAGGTCACCTGGTAATGGAGCACCACCAGTTAATGCTGCTGGACCCCCTACAGCCACAAAGTCCTCTGTTACCATTAGCAACGGCAGGGATCCACGACGTGCCAAAAGATGAAACCGTTTTTTGTGGGAGGAGCCGGGGGGGGGGGGGGGGTATCTTATAAAATGACCGTCCCCTTTTCCTCCCACTGCTCATATTGTCCACTGCCTGTGTTGGTATTCTCAGTAAGGAATGGCATATTTTTATACTGGTTAGAGCTATCACTTCGTACAGGTCATCATGATCAGCCACGTGTATGAGGAGAAGTTGAATGAACCTGGTGGTTGACTTTCAGCCAGCTTCTGTCTCCACTCTTCTGTAAATCTCTGCAGAAACCCAGTTGTGTGCCAGTGTTTCACCCCAAACCTCTTCTTCCTTCACACATCCTACTTGAACACTTGATGCACTTTCTTTTAATTTATGTAGAAGCTTGGCTGTCAATTGTCAGGAAATCAATTAACTTTTTTTTTTTTTTTCCCCCCCTAAGTGGAAAAGGCCTTAAGTATGATTGAAGATGCTCTAGAACTGGATGAAACCCGTCATAGGGTCTTCACTCTTTAAACCAAACTGTATTTAACACGACTGCAGAAAAGGTGATAGGTTTGTAGACTGACCCATTTTTCTTTATCATGAATTTGTTTTTTTATTTTTGCCTTCAAATGTACCTTTTTATCATGGTGGGACCATTTAAAATAGAAGTGATCGGTTCGCCAAATAAATTTTAGAGTAACGCTGCCATATTTGTTTTTTTTTTTTTCTGTACTTTTAATTCCACAAGTTACTATTAACATTGATGAACATGTCTGGTTAATTATACTGCCTTTACAGTGTAGTAAAAAATATCTCCCCAGTGTAAATGCCCACGCATCTATGAAGATATTCTGTTGTATTTATAGATTCACAGCTGAACCTGGAACGAGTCGAACCCAGCTGAACATCCACCAGTTATAAAGTGTTGACCCCCTCTCCTTTAAATTAAACTGGTTTCCTGTCTTCAGCCCCATCTAGTGCTGGGAGAAACAAATTGCTTCTGTGCCTGCCTTTTTATTTTTTGTCCCATCAGTCCTGTCATAACCACAAAGTAGAGAAACAATTTCATTGTTTCCTTGTTTGGTGGAAACCATTTGTTCCATTAGAAGGGCTGGGAGTGTTAACGTGAAGTAGTCCATTTTGAAGCAATACATTGCAAACAGAACCTCAAGTTTCTTCATATCCTTTGTTGCACCAAGCACGCAAATGTTTTGACCCCTGGACGTAAAGGTCCCTCTACTTTCAGCTAGTTCTGTCAAGGAGTACAGATAAATAGCATTTATGCCACAGTTCCTAAACAAGTATAACATCAGGAACATTTAAATTGGTCAAATGGGAGGTTACGAAAGTCAATAAATTATCTTTTGGGCTCATGAATCTCAATAAAACTACAAAGGTGAAATTTGTACTGATTATGAGTTTAGAAGTAACTTTATATCACTGACACCTCTACATTACAGATCTCCTGATGCATGCTCAATTAGCTCTACATTACAGAGCTCCACGTGAAAATATTAATTAGAAACAAGCCTCTATTGGAAAAGCTGCGCTGGTGGCATGTGATGTTGGAACTGGATCATCTATTGATCCTATTTAATGTAATTGTGGAACAAAAACATCTAAAAAAAAAAGCAACTTTTAACCCTTCTGTTTTAATTCTTTACACTCATTGCCACACATACTCTATAGAATATTTAGTTACACATTTATTGCCTTCTGCAAGATTTTGTTTTAGAATTTGCCTTTTAGCTCATACAATATTTAGCTAACAGACACATGCAACATTATTGTGTGCTTTTTAACGACGTGCGATTACAACATTAAATCAGTTGAACTAACATCAGCAGCTGATGTGTCAAAGGTCAAAGAGCTGAAATGGGTTTCCAGAAAAGATTTAAAAGCAGACAGAAGATGTCGGTATGATCTGTACAGGGGGGTCAGATTACATTTTAGTTATAATCCTCTATAATGTGCATCGCCCACCATCATGAAAGTATTCCAGATCCTAAGGAGGTTCCTTAAGAATCCAAACATCAGTTTTTAACATTTTTCTGCAGCTTTTAGTCAAAATCATGACTCAACGTTGGTTTAATTATTGTCTCTGTGAGGCAAACGTGTCTGTGGTTATGGTTAAATTTATTTTATAGATTTAAAATCTATAGGAGCTGCTTTCACATGTCAGATAAAATTACATTCATGTTGCAAGTTTCTGCAAAAATGCAATGTGAATGTTTATTGCTTGCTGAAAAAATAGATGAAATTAGCTTGAACATGCTGAAATGGAAGAACAAGCCTAAGTTAGCATACTAAAGCAGAAAGAACACATTTGCTGAATTACGTTTCAATAGAGAAATTAGTGCAAAAATTAGGAAATTAGCTAAAAATGTTGAAATTAGCAACAACAAAAAAGCTGAAAAGTCATGAAGAAGCCTAAAGTTTACCAGAAGGAAGTGGAAGGAGTTGAAATTACCTTTAAAAAAATGTGGCATTAGCTGAAAAAGCTAAATAGTAGCTGAAATTGCAGAAAAAACAAACTAGCAGAAATAACTTGAAAGGAGCACAACAAGCAGAAATTAGCAGAAAGAAGTAGAGAGAGCACAATTTTGCCCAGTTGCCTGAAAGAAGCAGAAATGGGCACAAAAAGGTGGAAATTATCTGAAAACAGCTGATAATTAGCTACAAAGGCAGCAAGAAGCTTAAATTACGAGAAGAGAGTGGAGAGAGCATATTTTTTGCCAAATTAGGCTGAAAAACATTGAAATGACTGCAAAAAATGTGGAATTATCTGAAACGGCTAATATGAGCATAAAACAGGTAGCTGAAATAGCAGAAAAAGCTGAAACTTGCAGAAATCAGCTAAAAGGAGCATAACAAGCAGAAGTTAGCAGAAAGAGATTAGAAACACATAAATGTTGTAGTTCGCAGAGAGAATCCCAAAGGAGCACAACAACAGAATAAAAAAAAGTTTAAATCTGTTTAAAGCTGAATCAGAACAAAATGTGAAAGGAAGAGTTAAAGGTTGTGAATAGATCTAAAGATCTGAAGAATGTAAAATGTAAAATGAGCTCAATTCATTTCCTATGAGAAAAAAATGGCAGAAAATGCTAAATATTTCAAAAAGCTAAAGTTGCACCAATATCAAAAGTCATGGATTGTCCTGAAAGAGCTGAACGTTTTCATGTATGATTTGATGAAATAGCTTGAAAACTGCGGGACGAGAAAGATGCTGAAAAGTGTACTGAAGAAAAACAGATTTACATGAATGCTTCATAAACATATTATTCACACTATTAATAACTGGTGTTGCCAATAGAAACGTTCCAAAGTTTTTCTATTAATCTGTTTGAAGTTATCGTCAGGTGTACAGAAGGCCCTTCGTATGATGCTGGAATAAACTTAATGTGCATCGCAGTGTCCTGTTTGAAACTTGTTTGTGTGTTTCTGAGAAGTGAAACTTGTGACACTGTTCGTTGGAACACATCAGAAGTGCGGCAGGAAACGTGATGCACTCATGTGTCAACAAAGACACATGCTGGGAACTTCCTCACACAGCTGATCACACTAAAGTCCCATCATCTGAAAGATTGATCTACAGTACATTTGGATGGATGTTTCTCTTTTTTTTTAACTTTACTTCTGGCAATTGAGTTAGAGAGAAACTCAATTTATAGCATTTTTTTTTTTAATTGAGCCAGAACTATATTATTATTTTTTTCCCACATTTCCTCCATCGATCCAGTGTTCACATGAAATTCATCACTCTGGTGATTAAAACAGCTTTCTCTTTCAGTTTTGCACCCATGCAGTGTGACAGCTGATCCTATGACACAGTGATTCATATCACAGCACGAGGCACTTTGTTTTTGGTAATAAACAAACAATAATTAATGAAAAAATAGAAATATTTTTGTATAAACAACTTTAATCAACACATTATGAAAAAAAGAAAAGAAAAAAGAACTGCATTTATTTCCCTCTTTGAATTCTGGTTCTGTTTGATAACTTTATTTCCAATTTATTTTTCTTTCATTCTTTTTTTTTTTTTTTTAATGCAGCAGTAGAAATAATCATAAAATAATCGGAAATGACCCCTCCCTGTTTAAATTGTTGAGCAAATCAGGACTGAGGAAGTATAAGGCAAACGGGACCGTTCGTCTTGGGGGTGTCAACAAATTGTTTGTTCTGTCTCTTTGTGACAAATTCAAAGATCCACCACGAAGCAGACACCACAATGACCGGTGAGTATTTTTACATTTACAATAAAAATATAGGCATGAATTCTAGTCATAAATATTTTGTACTTGTAAATCAGACTTCGTAGTTGCTTATTAAGATTTATAAAATGCATTTCTGCTTTGTGCATGTGTAAGTGCGTGCTCACATTTTTACACCAAGTTTTTTTTTTCTCACTTTATATCTATAAATAGACCGTCACAAAAAAGATTTTGTAATTTGCGTAATTATTTTTTTACGAATACAAATGAATTTGAAGCACACACACACACACACACACATTCCTGCCTACACATGCATAAAGCAGAAATTTATTTGACAAAAAAACTTAACTCACAACTAACTGATTTACAAGCACACGGTAGTTATAAATGGAATTTGCACCAGTGTAACAACTTTTACTTTTATTTCTTGGTAATTAAATAGAAAAGGAGCATCATAGCCTCACATCAATCTAAACCTAATTGAATTATTTACTATAAGGTCAATAATTATGATTGTTTTTGTCATCAGACCCAAACAAATCTTCGTTTCTCCTAGACTTTGGTTCTATTTACTACGAGCTCAACATCACCTACGACTACTACAACGACACGTTTACCATAGACCCAGCCACGCAGCCCTGCGACACCTTCACCAGTTCAGATGTTGCCATGCTGGTCGTCTGCGTATTTTACATCATCGTCTTCCTGTTGGCGATTCCTGGGAACTTGGTGGTGGGTTTAGTGATCGGCACAAACAAGCAGCCCCTGAATCCCTCTGACCTTTACCTCCTCCACCTGGCCCTCGCAGACCTCCTGCTGGCCATCACCCTCCCCTTCTGGGCCACCTCTGTGACGCAGGGATGGGTGTTTGGAGATGTCATGTGTAAAATTGTTACCATCGTGCAGGAGCTGAGCTTCTACTCGAGCATTCTCTTCCTGACTTGCATCAGCATGGACAGGTACATGGTGATTGTGTGGGCAATGGAGCCCAGCAGGGTCGACCGGCAATTTGTCAGCTGGGGCCTGTGTGCAGCTGTCTGGATGGTTGGGGGGCTTCTGTCACTGCCAGGGCTCTTTAGCTCTTCTTTCTTCTCCAAGAACGCCAATCACATGGTGTGTGGTGTAATATATAACCCCAGCAGTGCTCACGATTGGAGGATGACCACCAGAATTTTTCGTCACGCTCTGGGTTTCGTCATCCCCTTGGCCATCATGGTGCCCTGTTACACGATAACCGTTCAGCGCCTCTATCGCATCCGGGGCGGTTTCCAGCGCCAACGAGCAATGAGGGTTATCATCTGCGTGGTTGTCGCCTTCCTTCTTTGTTGGATGCCGTACCACGTCGCTGTGATGGCCGACACGTTCTTCAGAGCAAAGATCGTACCCTACCGGTGCCCAGAGAGGAGGGCGGTGGATCAGGCCATGTTTGCCACCCAGAGCCTGGGCCTCCTCCACAGCTGCGTGAACCCAGTGCTCTATGCATTTGTGGGAGAGAAGTTCAGGAAGAAGCTGCTGCAAAAATTAGGAAAGATGGGCCTTCTGAAGAAAACGTCAGTTTCCAGAACAAGCCGGTCGTCAGTGTCATCAGAAATCACATCCACATTCATGTGAAAGGAAACTTTGAGCCACTCGGCTTCATTAATCTCATCAACGCAGGTATTGTCTGGTCCCAGACGTTGGACAAGAGACTAACTTGGATCCTCTTACAGCAAGTATTTGTTAAACGTAAAAAAAATCCCCCACATATTACCATTACACAATGGTTTCTTTAAGCTGAGCTGTGAACTAGAGTTAGACCCATTAATGAGCCAGTATTTACCACTTTGAAAAGAATTGTCCAATTCTTAAATTACCATGTAGGAAAACGAAGACGCAGCAGCAGCTGCTACAACCAGCTTTCTGTAACTCATAACTTTCTGTAACTCATAACTTTCTGTAACTCATAACTTCCTGTAACTCATAACTTTCTGTAACTCATAACTTTCTGTAACAGTTTAGTGTTTTAAAGCGCCAATGCTCTTCTGTATATTAGTCTCTAATTAAACAGGTTTTTGTAAGGGTTGTATTATATAAATATATATTTTTTAAATTAAGCAAATATTGTTATATTTTGTTAAAGGAAAAATGATACAGTTGTATCACACTTTTTAAAACGTTAAACTAGTTTGTTATTTGTATAAATTGTGAAATTATTTATGTTACAGCGTCACAATGTCGTGAGTATTATGAAATACAAATGAACGCTGTGGGAAACAGTAACTTACAACAACTTAGTGTTAGACAGTGAAATATCTGATACATGTGCAATTTATTATGATCCAGAATGTCTAATGACTGCTTATGAATCATTTGAAAAATCATCTGTACATACCATATATACTGTATATTAAAGCATAAAAATAAACACAAAACATCTGGAGTTATGGTCCCCCGTTCAGTTTCCTTTCATTTTGTGATTAATACACTTCACTGAGTCACTTGATATTTCAACTAAGACAAGAAATGTGCTTTTAAACTGAAAGTCTTTCAGCTTATTTTGGGAAATCCAAACAATGAAGTTGCGATGACCTCAGAGAGAAAACTGCAGCACAAGTTAAGACATGAAAATGCAACATTTTCTTCCTTCGATTGCAAACCTGAGACGTGCAGCTGATGAGAAACTTGTTTTTTTGCAGATCTTATTATCCACAACAGGTAGTCAATTCTTGTTTGACTGAAAAAATATAGTTTTTATTTTCTTTAAAATTCAATTCAAAAATACTTTATTAATCCCAAAGGGAAATTATTTGTTGTTGTAACTCGTTATCCTCATTTCATTAAGAGATGTTATAGATGCTGATGGCTGTAGGCAGGAAGGATCTCTTGTAAAGGTCCATCCCACAGTGGATCCTAAGAAACTGGCTGCAGGTGCCGTCTGATCCGTCCACCCAGACTCGGCTGGCCTCTCGGTTCCCCCGGGCTGTAGGACCGCCCAAATGCCGGGCAGAACTCCTCCCAGAGCGATGGCCACTCCTCCCAGCAGCCTGCCGAGCTCCTCGTCACTGCGGACAGCCAACTGTAGGTGCCGAGGGACGATCCGTCCTTCCGCTGTCATGAGCCGTGTTTCCTGCTAGTTCCAGGATCTCAGTGGTCAGGCACTCGAGCACAGCTGGCAGGTAGATGAGAATGCGTCCACAGAACATCCTTTTCAACTCATCTGCGATTTGAGGCTGTAGTTGAGATATTATTGGAGCTTTTGAGATGTTAATCAGCTGCTGTTGGTTGTAGAAAACTGCCTTGTTGCCATGGTAACGCATCATAACAAATGTCCAAAATAAAAAAAAAATTCAGTAAAAATCCTTCCAGCTGCACATCATCTGATACCAGAGAAAACAATCATCCAAAAAATGTGATTTACATCCAGGAAAAGAGGAATTAAAATTTCCAAAAGCAAAATCTCAGAATGAAAGTAACAGAGCTGCTCCAACATGCAGCCACCTTGAGCGGCGCAATAAAAAAAATGCAAAAAATGTATTTAAAAAATGTATTTAATTCAGAGCGAAAACTTTTGTAATAGTTTTCACTCCCATCAACTGAAGGTAAAAGTGCAGACATAGTTTATTTATTTATTTATGAAAGCTAGGAATGGAAGAGGGTACAGCCCCTCATGTAGTGGCATCAGTTGTGACAGTTTAATCTTCTTGAGCTTTTGCTTGGTGTGCATTTTTAATTTATTCTAGATCAGTTGAACCTCATAAACACAAAAACAAACAATATTTTTTTTAACAATTAGGAGTTAAAATACAATTAACAAAAAAACAGTACCTAAAGTCTAGCCCCCGTGGATATGGACAACACTTAAAACCAAGTCAATATTAGGATGCAGGTCTCTGGAGGTTACAGAATATTCTGTTTTACCTCGTCTTTTGCACAGTGACTGATGGATAAAGGCACCGGTGACCTCTGTGACCCGAAAAGGAAGAAGCTGGTAAAGATAATGGATGATAGATAATAAAAAATAAAGTAGATCTATGTGTTTTTGTAACTGCTGTATTTGTCAAATAACTGATGCACTCACAAAAAAAAAAAAAAGCATGAGAAATGTCCTGAAATTGTATTCTGGCCTGTGGTTTTGATGTCATCACAGGATTTGCAGTGGCCCCCACATGTACCACCCATTACAAACTTTCTGGAGGCGCCATTGCTCCCTGTTCTTTGTGCCAAGTGCTGTGCGACGTTCCACTGACCCCAGGATGGCTAAAAATGACCGGAGGGCGGGAGCTTCGCAGTGAGTGGGCAGATAGACCATGCAGCTGTCATTGCAAGACTCGCTGGGCTGTGGTTGTCATTTCCCCTTCCAGACTGACTGGCAGAGGTAGGGGGGAATCATGAGTGGGGTGATTTAACTTATGGGACAAGGATCAAGGAGGGGGGGATGGGGATCACTGTGCAACTTCTCAGATAGGACTTGATACCTGGATTCAACCGGAGGGTGAGCAAGAACCAACCACGATATGAATAAAAACCAATCCCGATGAAGACTGGCCCAGCTCGGTTTTACAACAAAGTTGTGTACTTTTAGGAAACGTTTCCACCAGATGAAGGAGTAGGAGGACAACAAGAAAAAGCAGGACCTCCAACAGACAAGTCAAGGGAGCTGCTGTTGATGCAACATGATCTGGAGGGTCTTACCCTAAAAATACTGCTGCTCAGGAGCGTGATCGCCGGCTCTCTCTGGCTGATTACCTGGTGATGAACTCTCTCATCCCCATCTTCAAACAACTGAGGTCAGAGAACAATACTTTTAGGAGCTTAGACATGTTTCCCAAAGAGTTCAAGAATGGTACTGGTGACTTGTCTGTTCATAGACTATTTAAACCAAAATTGGTATTGTAGACAAACAGTCCTAGAACACAGATACATGTTTCATTGGTGAATCCATCAAGTCAGATCCACCATGAGAAAAGCTGATGCACAAAGGACTTTCAAAAAGGGGGCAGATGAAGCAGCAGCCCCCCCGAGTCCCATCATCCCCACCAAACGGTCTAAAGCAAGCTCGGAGCAGGTGGTGCCTGAACAATGGGGCCCCGGCCATCTCAACCCATCTCCACCTGTTTTTGTTCGCAAAATGAGGAACGCCGCCGTGGGAACGGGTTGCGACATCCGTCTTAAGGTGACTGTAGCTGGAGACCCCCAACCCTCCTTGTACTGGTACCACAACGATGAGCTCCTCAACATGGAGAACCAGGAGTACGGAGGTCTTTGGATTAGGGACTGCAAACCCAGTGATGCTGGTCTCTACACCTGCATCGCCAATAATCACCTTGGGGAGGCTCGGACGAGCGCTGTGCTGGCCGTCCTGGATCTGGGTGAAGGTAAAATACACAGACATACTGTGAATACTACTTTACTTTTACTTTCAAAAATATTTTAGCTTCTTTTTAAATAATAATGTCACAAAACACTGTTCATTTCATTCTAACCCTAACCCATGGTATCATAAACTTGTATAAGTGTTTATACCTAATAAATGAATCAAAGAATAACACAACAACATTTTTAAATGTATTTATTAATAAATATATTAATTTCAGTTTATTTGACTTTAATATGGAAAATCAGAGCATCACAAACACACATAATCATAAAAACAACAAACCCATGGAATAAAACTTTATGAAATTTACCCAGAATGCCAAAGTGCTTCCCAAGGCCTGGTTTCCATAGTGACAACAAGAACGAACAATTTGGAATATTTAATTTGTTGCATTTTAATAGAAAATCCTTACTCCTAATACCAAAAACATGCCCTGCTGTTCAAAGTGAATCATTTACGAATTGTACTGTTTTGTCTCTTTATTGTAATATTTTGTTCCCCCAAATATCTAAAACCAAACGGTCATTGGATAAATAAGGTTATATTTTTTGAATAAATGGCATTTATTGATTGCTGATTTTACATATAATGATGAAAAACTAAATCAATAATCAAGCATATATTTAATAAATATAGAAACTGTGGTTAGAATACCAACAAAGTCCATGCTCAATAATCTAACTGTGGTTAGGATAGTTTTTTCCAAACTCAGTTTATGTAAAATGTATTATTTTACTATTTGAATACTAAATAAATATGCAATATTTTCATTTATAAGTTTAAAACTACAGATTTACAGTGTAAAGGTGTAATTTCCATCATGTAGGCTTTAAAAATAATTTTTAAATCAGCAAATTTAGTCAAAGTGAGTTGCTGGAAGTCTCACAGATTCTTCAGTGTACATCAAGAGTACTGATGGAGCCGATGCTGCGTCATGCATTTTAATCAACATTTCTTTTTTCTTGCCCCGTACAACCTCCAGAACTGATCTGAATTCAGTTCATCTGAGCACTTTGACTTTACAACAAGACATCAGCAGCTTTTCCCTGCATATTTACTGTTTGCATGTCAGCTCACGTTGTTCTGCAGTACTCAGCTTGAATATGTGGAAACACTTTCCTCTTGTTTGAACTACCTTTTTTCTGCTGATGATATATAGACGGATCATGCACGTGCACGTGCAAACTCTCATCAATGCTTAATGCTGTCCAGTTGATTTCGATGCAGCCATTCTTCCTAATACCATGTGATGAGAAGCTTTGTGCAACCTTAAAGAACAAAAGGGGGTTGTTATGTCTTTAACAGTAATTTCTCATGTCTGGGACCTTGGTTCCATAAAGTAGGATATAAATTTATAGTAAAAAAAAACCAACTAAAATTAAGATTGCTGTAATCATAATAACTATTTTTTTTTATTTCCCGCCACCTTGAAAACTTTTTTTTTAAATTTTCCTGCCACCTTGAAATTATGAGGTTAATAAGGTGATTGCTCAACTCCGTCTGTTAGCAAAATATCTCATGAGCCACTTGTTATCAAAAAGTCATTATTGGATGTGCACCTGCAACATTGTTTTAATCAACCTGATTCAAGATGACTGCTACTGCTAAACAACTTTAGCAAATGCTAAATTGACCATAACGTGGGAAAAAACGTTTTAGAGCTCATATTTTGTGAGTTAGTTAGTTAGTTAGTTAGTTAGTTAGTTAGTTAGTTAGTTAGTTTGGGGTGGAGTGGTTAGAGCAGTTGTCCTCCAATGGGAGAGTTGGGGGTTCAGTTCCACCAACAGTCACATGTTGAAGTGTCCCTGGGCAAGACACTGAACGCCTCATTGCCTCAGATGTGTGTCCCATCATTGTATGAATGTGATAAAGCATTGATTAATCTTTGTAGAGATATAGTAGAGTGCTGTATAAATAGTTAAATGAGGGCACAGATTATAGTGTAAAGTGCTTTGAGTATCTTGATTACTGTATTTTTTTGGACGATAAGGAGCACTTAAAACCCTTTCATTTTCTCCAAGATCAACAGTGAGCCTTATAATCTGGTGCACCACATGTATTAATTCTAGTTGTGCTTATTGACCTCGAACCGATTTTATGTGGTATACTGAGCTAAAAAAAATCTGTCAAAATGTTTTAGTTTCGGTTAATACGCCTTATAATCCGAAAAATACAGTAGATAGAAAGGTGCTATATGCATGCAGTCCATTTAATAAAAAAAAAGTTTGGTGTGTTAGTACCTGAACATCCTCCTCAACACAAACTCACACACGATCTTGGTTTAAAAGTTTGGCCTGCAAGGCAGCGGGCGACATGCATTCCTTCAAGGAAGGCTAGTTTAATTTCATTATTTGTTTTGAAGGATTATAGGAATCAGAAATAAAGTTTTTTTGTTTTATTTTGCCTGGATGTAAATTTCTAAAACGGAGTTTGTTATTCCAGTGAATAATAAAAAGGAAGGTAAAAAGCCTGCGCACACAAAAGTAAAGTACTTATCCAATCACTGTCTTTCGGTAAACGGTCCTGAGTCCCACTCCGTTTTGGAATTAGAAAAAAAATCAAACATATTATTTTACTTTTGAGCACAATATTACCTTTTACTTTTAGAGTTCTGTCACTGGGTTTAAACATCTAATGGATTGCACCTTTCACATCAGGGACCGTCCATATTTAGAAATACGCCACAATAAAGAAGCACATTTAAAGTTCACTTTCACAACCTCTGCGTGACTCAGCGCAGACACTGGCTTTGTGTAATTGTTACTTTCAGAGTGATTCACAACGTGTCACGTTGGGTTTCCTTTCTCTTCTTTGCTTCGCTTTAACCTTTGATTGGACTCTTCGCTGCTTTGCGGCGTGTACACGACCCACAGCTGTTCCATCACTCAGTGATCCGGCCTGCAGCCTTTTCTCCTTTTCCATCTCCATCACTCTCTCTCTCCTCCCCCGTCTTTCAAAATGTCCCTCTCTGTCCCGCCCCATCGCCGGACCACCAGCTCTCCAGTTATTTTTACCGTGGAATGTGCCTGGCCTCAGATTTTTGTGATGTTAGCAGCCGAACGTCTCTCCTGTTACACAGCAAGACATCACAGCTAATTTTAGCTGAGCCCTGTAGCTCCTGTGTTGTCTGCTGATAGGGAATGAGCCAAAAACTCAATCATTTATTAGCATAAAAATGTTGGTATTCTTATCCTTCTGTGTTTAGTTCTTTGTCTGTTAGTAAAATACATCATGAAACAAAGGCTATATATGAATGAAATATATTTTTTAAAATCACTGGATGACATTTACAGCTGATTAGGTTTTAGACTCAGTCCAATCCAAGATGGCCTCCTCTACATCTGTCCAGCGTTATCCAGCACATATGTCTGTGGGTGTTTTGTGAATGTATCCCTGATTATAACATGGATCTACAGGCGTAACTACTTTTGTTAAGCTAATTGTTTTTCTGTCATTTGTTGCAAAGCAAGATTTCACGCTCAACAATGGTAACATTCTCTCTTTCGCCTTGGACGAAGACGGTCACTCTTACCCTCCATCCCTCATGCTGAACGGGGTGCTGGAGAGCCCTCATGCCCTGAACGAACCCTCACAGCTGGGTATGTCACGGATTCCTGGAATGAGTGGAAGATGATGTGCCTATCTGTGCTGGCCGTAGAGGACATAGATGTGTACGTTATTGGATTTATGACAACAGTGTTTCTGCTTTTTGGAATCGGCGGATACCTTGGATATCGACAAATTAGGAAGATGTCGGCAGCAGTTTCGTCCATGGTAAAGCTGCCAGCCTTACGTGAAGGATTAATTTGTGCGTCAAGCTCTCAGACTCATATGCTTACTGAGCTCTACCATAAGCTGGACGCGATTTCTAAGAATCCTTGGCCACTTGTGGCTCCTGGAACTCACCAGCATGAAGGTTTCAGTCTTGGAGAATGCTAAATCGAGCATGGACTGAAAGAATGTCCACTAATCTGGCTGTTTGGATTCACCACTGAGTGTACCAGCAGAACTTGAAGGCAGACAGAAACAGAGTCTGGCAGCCCAAACAATTGTCGTTTATCTGAATTTGGCCTCCCCGCTGGCCTTGGACAGGCCGACTTATCCCAAATTGCTCCTGAAGGATACGTAAACTAGAAACTTGTGCCTGCTCCCACCTCCTGAGCACATCTGTGGCCTTTTCAGAAACATGATGCGGATAGACACTGTACCATCTTCTCAGAACTTTATGGATAACTCACCGGCTTTGTTGACCTCTGTGCCTAAATGTATTATGATGTCATTGTATGTTGCTGTTTTATGTTGCAAGTTCATTTTTTGCATCTTTTATATTCTTTCCCAGCCAGGAAATGGTGTGAGAAATGATGTTTTTTGGCTTCCTCCATCCTCGTGTTCTCTTTTTCTCATCTGTTTGTATGTTGTACTGTATATAATCAGGTCTCTCTTATAAATGAGTCTTCGAAGCTCAATGGGAACTAACCTGTATAAATAAAGGTCTAATAATAATAATAATAATATTTGTCACTAACTAATGTTAAATTAACGTGTGTGAGTTAGAGAGTTGTTTTTCCTCACAGAGAGGAGCCTGCAGGAGCACCTGATAACTCCAAGGACACCTCCGAGTCTGTAAGCTGGAAAGCCGAGGTCGTCTTGATCTCACCTCTGTCCGATAAGCGTGTGTTATGATAAACACTTCCTGTCTCACTGTCCGCTGCAGATTCTCACTGATGAGGCTCTAAACATGTAACTTTTGTACAGCTGTGAAAGCCTGTTTTCGTGACTGTCTGCCCTTGCAAGTTAAAGACCAGTTAAATCTTCTCGTGTCCTCAGTGGCTTATTTGAGTAAATAGATAAAGGATATTATTTATCCAACAAAAGAGTCCAAAGAAGCAAATACGGACCAACATTCAGGGAATAATTGATCTAGTTTGATCATTAATTAACACACTTACCGATAGTTATTAGATCTAGTAGTCCGGCAACCTGTACCAATTTTTTAAATAAATCTGTTTTTTTAATGAAAAAAATCAAAACGAGCAAAACTAGAGAAAATAAACTGAGTGCCAGATAATTCAATTCATTTTATTTAGATGGGGTAGAGGCAGGGCAGCTGACTCGGGACCCGAAAGTCCCAGGTTCGATCCTCAGTCAGTGCACATCTCGTGGTGTCTCTGAGCAGGACACCCTATCCCCAATTGCTCCCCAGGAGCTTTCCATAGCTGCCCACTGCTCCACCTGGGGGTGGATGGGTTAAATGCAGAGAGCCATTTTCACCATTATATGGGAACATGCAATGATAACACATCATCATTATTATATAGTGCCAAGTCACAACCGAAGTCATCTCAGGGCGTTGAACAGAATCATTCATATATACAAAGTATTTGGAACAGACTTCTTTGATTTTAACTCCATTGCAGAAACTCTCATTCTGAGCAAGCAGGAAGGCAACAGTGGGAAGGAAAAACTCCCTCATGAGGAAGAAACCTTTAGCAGAACCAGGCTCAGGACAAGCGTCCATCTGCTTCAACCGGAAAGATGAATTTATTGAATTATTTTTGAAGAAGCTACTTTATAAAAACTAAAAGAAACAAAATACTAGCTGTAAGTGAAGCAACATAGTAGCTAAAAGTAGCAAAACAATGGCTAAAACTTAAACAAAGAGCCAGAAAGCTTTAGAATGAAATGAAGGGATCTATTCTGTATTTCTTTGGAGATTTTTTGTAAAGAAAATTATATATTTTGAAAAGTATAAAAGTTACAAAACCTACAATTCATAGCACCTATCTCCAGAATGAGATGAATGTTCTGGTTTCTAAAACAACACAAGTATGACTTGTATGCACAGCAAATAGGAGCAGTTAAATTGAAATAAAATAAAAATAAATAAAAAAACGGGGAAAACTTTTATGTGAACCCTGAATCAGCATTCACTTTACTGAAGGTTGTAAACAGAAGAGTGCTGCAAATCTAAAAATGAAAGTTCAAGACCCTTCTGACGGTAAAGGGAACTTTAAAATATGGATGTTATTTCGTGAGCTGCGTGCGTAAAGCATGTGGAGTCATTATGCTGCTGAGCAGCAGCTATATTTGGAGCTTCAGATGTGACGGTGGCCTCTGTCCAGTGAGTTTGGATAGTTTCCCCTCCATGTTGTTCCTGGAGCATGACGGTGAGCGAACAGGTGGACAGAGAGTTCAACCGTGGAAATCCCCCACAGCTCCACGCCGCTTTAACAAACTGGCCAACAAATTAATGATCTACAT